CCTGGGGAGTGTGGGACGATCTCATCATAGGGGCCTCTGAACATCATGCTAAGGCTCATGTACTTTGCTCTGTAGGACACAAAGGGACACTAAAGGTGGCTGAGCAGAATATGTGAAGTTTTATACAGGAAGGGTTAATGGGTTAGAAGGGGGGAGGAGAAGAGGGAGAGAAATAGTAAGATATTCTTTCTTAAGTTTCTTGACTGACTGAATAAATGAATGAATGAGTGGATGAACTTATAAACATGTTGAGTACCAACATCTAAGCATTGTTTGTGCTGCTACAGGACACGGATGAATAAGCATTGGTTCCAGCTCTTTGGGAAACTGGGAGCTTGCAGTCCAGTGGGGGAAACCAACACCACATGGCCAAGTAGCAGCCTTGTCTTCACTGGGTTCTAACTAACTTGCAAACAAATGTGGTCTTTCCACACCATGGTGGTGAAGTCGGACAAATGGCTTCATGTTCTCTTTATGCAACTGATCTTTCTCTTAACCTAATTCAAGACTTTCTATGCATCTTGTTAAATATCTTGGTTATTTTGTTCCAATCAAGGAGAAATCTTTTGAGTATTTTATATACCTGACACATTTTCCTAGATGTGGGATTTCTGTGGAAGTGATAAATGGCCATCCTGTCCCTTTATGTGATATTGAAAAACAAAATGTCAGATGGTACTGGACCAAACACAGAGCCATCTGACCCATCGAGGGACCTTTCTCAGCCTTTGGGGGAAACTGTTCTATAGACTCTAAATGCATCCAGCTGGTATCATCCATCCAGCCCACATTTCTATATCTTGTCTATTAGGCTGTTACAGGAAACTTTGGTAACAAAATAATTTCCTGAAATCAAGCTTCCCAATGTCTGCCATGTCCATTGGCTCTACAGACCTTGCAACTCCACCCAAAAGGGTGCTTTACAAACATGACATTTATTTTTCATGGTTTTACACCAGTGGTTCCTTAGTAATTTCTAAATGTCTTTCTAAATATTCACAATTTTAAAAATAATCCTATCTAGAATTTTGACAAGGATCAAAATTCATGCTTCTTTCCCATGTGAAAAGTAGAAAATACACACATGTCAAGTCTTTTGGCTCTGCAACGCTTCCTGAGTTTTCAAAGACTGAGGTTACACCTGCAAGTTTTTTCAACTCCAGGGGTTAATTCAGTTCACTCAACAAATTCTGATTGAATAATGCCATGTCCAAGACTCTATGTATATATCATTTTATACCAGGGCTTAGAAATCTGAATGCATTGCTCTTCTGTTTTTCTCACCTACCCAGATTTAATTTCTTCTTCTAACTGGTTGTTTAACATTTCTAGATTGAGGACCATTTGCCTTGATAAAGAAAACAGAAAAGCTGAGAGTTGAGAATCCTGCTTTTCCCCATCATGTGACATGATACCATCTGCCTTAGCACAAGGCTTGTCCTCTCCTTGTTCCCGATCCAAGAGAAACAGCACTAATTTGCTGTCCTTGGAGTATTTTTTGTTGTTGTTTTTCAGATTCAGCCTCTTTGCTGCATTATACCCTCAGGCTCCAGCCAGACATTTATCCTGGATTGCATGTCCCTTTTCCAATCTCTTAGGTGTCCTTCTAAAATAAGGTCCATTAGAGCTCCCTGTGCAGTCCCGATGATTTCTATTGGGTTGTACTCAACAAACACAGGTTGAACTGAATTGATTTAATTTTCTTTTTTCAATGGACTAATCTGTAATTTTATAGCCTATAGTTCATTGTTTTTTTAGAGTCTTCCCTTCCTTAATAGTCAAAATCCCTTTTTGAGATTTTTGAACATGGACTCTTGCAGATTCTTAGGATATCTGCCTTCCCAAAGCATTGGGTCCAGGGGACTGTGCGTAGCCTGAACTGGCCTTGATCTCAACCCCAACAACACACTACACTGAGACTTTGATCCACGATTTCCATCAACTCATTGCCACCCATCAGACAGCTTCCTTATGGGTCCTTTTGAAGCCTAGATCAGCATTGCCCCTCCCTGTAGATGCAATGGAGTGAAGTGGCAGAGGGACTGGGCTTTGAGATCCAGCAGACCTGGCTTAGCCACTTATGAATGTGTGACCTTGGGCAAATGACCTCATCTCTCTCCACCTCGGTCTCTTCCTGTGAAAAACGGATTATTATAGTACCTGCCTCATAATTGGTTATGGGGATTCAATGAGATGGTGAGTGTAAAATGCTTACCATAGTGGTTGGCACATAATAAAGTCAATAAACTGTACCGTTGCTATTAGTACCTGCTGTTTCTTCCAGTGTCTACTTCTATATAGTTCCATTTGGGTTACTTTCTGTTTACCTTTAAAACACAGCTAGAGCGTAATCTCTGACTTGATTATCCATGCCTAAACTTTTCTTTGTAACTTCACTTGAGCTTAATAAAAACCCTAAAATAATTCACCAGGCTAGTGTGGCCCAGTGGTTGAGTGTCAACCCATGAACCTGGAGGTCACAGTTTGATTCCAAGTCAGGGCATATGCCCCAGTTGTGGGCTGGATCCCCAGTAGGGGGCGTGCAGGAGGCACCAGCCAATCAATGACTCTTTCATCATTGATGTTTCTATC